GATCCGAAACTTTCGGGGGTCTTGTGGGTGTATTTTAAGATTGTATTTTCAATTTAGGCAATTTAAAAACCTCCCGAAGCCCCATTTCCTTTCCTTGGGCAGTAGCTAGGAATGATTTTTACCCTCTTAACCTGATTTTCTTGGGGGCATTCTGGATATTTTGTAATACATTTTTTTTTCCGTCCACGTTGCTGGGTAGAAACCTTGATTTTAGGGGGGGTTTCTTCTTTAAGTTTTTCCAAAAAAAAGTCCGTTTAGATGCCCGTTTTTACTCTCAGTTGTAGCAGCAGTGGGTCGGTAGCACCGTAGCTGTCATGACCCTCTTTTTGTTTTTGACCTTTCTCCCTCGTCCAGACTCCAAATCGAGTAAAAAAAAATTTTGAACTTGACTATTTTTTTTGTCCTCTATCCAACGGTGTGCTCGGTTGCACCCAGATATTCATGGATAATTACTAATTTACCCTTTTAGCCTTAAGTGCTCGTTTTTCTTCGTCTTGTCGTTTCTCCTTCGTCCAGACTCTGACTTATGTGATTCTTGAGTCCATCTTGATTAGTTTTTCGGTGTCTTTCCAGCAGTGTGCTCGGTGGCACCCGAATTCATAGTTTTAAAAATGACTATTTTGCCCTTGGGGCCATTTTTGTCCGATTTTTCTTGTTTTCCGTTTCCGCTACTTTCTTTTGAGTTCCGTGATTTCATGAGAAGTAACGGATGTGTTTTGGGAATAATATACATTCTAGGGACGTCATTTCCATGTAAAATGACTATTTTGCCCATTGGGACTTAATTGTTATTTTCTGATCTTTTGCTTCTGCGTCAGTTCTCATTGAGTTCCACGACCTCATGGAAGGTCATCAAAGTGTCTTAGAGGTGTGTTGTGCCTTGGGAGACCGTTGTCTTATTTCTTGCTTCCGTATTCTAGATTCGTTATCGAATTTATGTTCGATTCATCACAGGACGCGCTGGCCTAAAAACCAGGGCCATCACATAAATTACAATATTTATGCAATTAAACAATATAGAAGCATAATATACAATGCAACAACATACAGATCATCGAAGTCATCAACTTGAAATCTGAAATGCGAAATCAACTAAAATGGTTCATGTCACCTAACGTCTATGTTCCAAATGAGTCTAAGAAATCATCCTAGGTTACATTAGAACAATAAAACACAAATCACAATATCAATGCAATTTAACCAACATTGGAACTTCCTATACAACGCATAGAGCACAATTTCTCAAAGTTAACATCTTGAAACCTATAACGGGAAATCAAGTAAGGAACAATAAGTTACAACATCAGCTAGTCATCAACTTGAAATAAAATGCGAAATCAATCAAGGTGGATACTTGGACATCATGCCGGATCAGACCGACAACGTAGTTACTTTAGGGTTACTAGCCCATGGGTAACCTCCCTATATGCGCACTAGACTATAGAGGGACAATCCCCCGTACTAGAACCATGTCCTAGCCGTAATCAGACAACGACATCCCCAAGTTTCCAAAATCAACAAGTTGTGCAACAACGTATATATCAACATGTATATACAAGATAATCAACTATCTACCACGCACAACCAAATTTGGAAACACATACAATACATGCTCTAAGCCCACAACTACTATGGTATGACAAATGTCGAATCTTCAGTGTATGATTCGTTACACACAATAACAATGTTACTCAATATTAAAGACATAAACTCATGAATCTAAATATAACAACAATGTTATCCAATACTCAAAATGTAACCAAGTGAATGTATAACAAGTCCAAGTCCATGATTTAAACATAGAAACAACTTCCGGAACACAATTAAATCCATGGAGCAATTAGATAGAATTTAATTAAACAAAAATAATTAAATTCTCTAGTTTTCAAATCACTTCCAAATAATCTCAAATTAATATATGTTAAACAACATAGCATGGTCATTACATATATCCCATTAAAAGTGCAAAATGAGCAAGACATCATCATGTAGAATTTAATTAATTTAAATTAATTAAATCTCTAATTTTCAAAAGTTGTTCAAATGATCCCAAATTAATATATAACAAGGACTAAGTCATGGTCATGCCATATATCAAGTCAAAAATGGAATACAAGTAAGGTATAATTAAGTAGAATTTAAATCAATTTAGATTCATAAAATCTCTAAATTTGAAAAATCATTTAAATCATCCCAAATTAATATACAACAAAGATCAAATCATGGCTATGCCATTTATCAAGTCTAAAGTGAGTTATATGCAAACTACAATAAATCATTAATTTATCAAATTAACATAAGACATGCATACAACTTATATTTCATTACAAAAGCAAGTAAAAACTCTTAAATAATAAACTATAACACCCCCTACCTCACTAGAGAAGAGTCTCTCTAGAATCCAAGGCAAATCAACACAAAATGGCAAACCCTTCAAGGGTTATGTAGAGGAAGGTAAGGCAGAGCTTTTGTATTCCAAGCTTTATGGTCTAAGGTGAGTGGAAGGCCCTCAAAAATCAAAGTCAAGGCCTAAGCATCAAGCTTTTCTAATGGTGGCTAAGATTTGTGGTGAGGAAGATAATGACATAATGTGAAGAAGTGTGAGTGGAGGAAATAGAAATCCTCCACTCACTATGTGATCCTACACCATGGTCAACACACATATCTATGGTCAATTGCACAAAAACCCCTCTTTAACAAAGTAGCCCAAAATAATTGCAAGACTAAATTTGGTGCCTACACTTGTCACCAATCCATGGCTCCTTTTTAGGCTTAATCTTAAACCTACACTTGTCAACCATCCAAGCCAACAAGTGTACCTATCCTAAGTCGACAAGTGGGTGAATTCCACCCTCCACATGTCGCAAGATTATGCTTCCAAGTGACTCAACCCCAATGCCAATAAGTGGCCCCATGAGAGTGTGACACTTGTCACACTTTTCAAAAATTATAAAAAGGTCCTTTTTGAAAATATCTTCCAAATTAAATTACAAAATGGTCCTTAAGATGAAAAATAATTACTTATAGTAATTACACAAATATCCTTAAAAGAAAGAAAAAAAGCAAAGAAGTATGCATCCATACCCCTTTACGTAAAAGTAAGCAACTAGCATGCTTTTTCTACAAAAGTAAAAATACATATGGCATAGAATTTAAATATTGGGGATTCATGCAAAACCGGAATCAAATCCGAACACGAAAAGTGAGGTTGTGCCAAGAAAGTGACAAACGGGACAAGATGAAAAGTGAATAGTGTCACAAAAGTGAAAATGTGAAAATAACTCGGTCCTTAAAGAAAGTAATCAATCCAAAGTAAAGAGTCTCGGAAATCATTCCCGAGCACTCGAGACGACACTAAGTGACGAGAAACCAAACTCAGAAAGAAAAGATCAAAGGAAAAAAAATATCCATAAAAATCTGAGAAAAATGAAAGGAAGGAAAATGACCGGGTCATTACAATTGTAGTGGACATGGAACCCTCAAGGGCTAGCTTGGAGGTTGGCATCATCATCTTCATCTTTGCTTTCTTCTCCAAAACCCTAGTTCTAAAGAGAGGAAAATTTCTATAATTGGTAATATCTCTATCTATCTTCTATGATACAATAATTGTTCAATAAATCAATTACACACTCCTTTGAGTAAGGACCAAGTCAGAATTACAGCCTCTGATTGGAAGAAATTCGCCACTGCACAAGTTAGGTAGAAATCGGCGCTCGGGAATTAAACAGCTCATTGCCAGTAGGCATTTCGATCGATTGAAGATTTTCGATTGATTAAACACTTAGCTTCGATCGATCAAAGCTGACGTGGCTTGAAAATATCTTCTTTGGCCTTATCTGATTAGCTGAGTTGGCACCACCTCATTTCGATCGATTGAAGATCTCTTCAATCGATCGGGATTCCCCTTCGATTGATCGAAGTTCCCCTAGTGCATTTTTCTTGGCTTCTTTCCAACTTTGCTCCTTAGCTCCGAAACTGTGCTAAATGGCTCATGTTAGCCTATTTGAACTTTATTAACCTGAAATAGGCAGAAACACAAATAAGTATCTAAGACATGAAAGTAAGATAGATACTATGGACTAAAATACCCTAACTTAGGTGCTAAAATGCGTCACATTTGAGCACTCATCAAATAGCTATAGTGGTGGCGGTGGTCAAAGGTGGTGGCGGTAGAAAACGGTGGCATTGGTGGAAGTCGGTGGTGGTGGTGGCCACGGTGGAGGTGGCAATGGCGGTGGCTAAAAGCAGTGGAGGTGGGGATGGTGTAGTGGTTGAAGGTGGCAACAATGGTGGCGGTTGCAGTGACGGTGGTGGAAGGTAAAAGAAGTGGTAGTGATGGTGAAAGTCAGCGGTGGTTGTGGTGGAAGATGGTAGTGGTGGTAGTTTTTGGACTTGGAATATAAGGGTGTTTTGGGAACTTGATTTTTTTTTAAAACAATACTTGGGAATGGAATGACCATTATTAGTTGTGGAATGGATTTTCATTCTAATAGAATGACGATTCTTACTTTAAATTGCATACCAAATAAATGAATGGTTGAAATGGGCATCCCATTCCATTCCATTCCTGCACACCAAATGTAGCATTATGGGTTTCTTTGAGGAGGGTTTTGGTTTTAGAAAATTGAATCAAAGCAGCTGTAATTTTCTTGATTGGTAACCATTTTTGCTTATTGTTTATCATTTAAACTTAAACATAATGGAGAGTTTGTGTGTAAAATTTGTCTTATTTTATAACATTAAAAAATTTGACTTTTTTTTATATAAACACATACATTGTTTGATAACGTAAAAAAAATTGTCTTATTTTAAAACAATAAACATAAAAACGTATTTGTTAACCTTAAATTGTTTTTAAAAAATTTAACACCAGTTTTAAATAAATGATAAAAGTGTCCAATTTTCCTCTAACAAAGTTACTCACAACCTTAGCAAATGAGGTGCTTGTAAAAACTATTGATCTTAAGTGGAATGTGGCCCTCTTGGTTATTTAAAGCTTGGTTATTTAAAGCTATAGAGAAATGATGGTTGTGCTTGGAATGCAACTCCCAAAACAGTTTTCTGTTTTGGGAGTTACACAAAACTGAAAAGAGGTGTTGTTTTTTTTTTTTTTTTTTTTTTTTTTTTTGCTTGGGTCTATTTTTGAGAAATAGTTTTTATAAAACTGAGTTTTCATAGTGTGAGTTTCTAAAGAACAACTTAAACCTGTTTTCAGAATTTCCAGAACTGTTGAGGGACTCTTTTGAAAACACGGAGAACACTATCGCCAGTTAAAAAATGACGATAACCCTCGTATCGTTTATAACACAAGCGGCGCAACATTCATCTTTTCTCTCTTCAACCTCTCTGCAACGCATTTTCTCTCTTTTCAACTCTCTGCCTGATCTCGTTTATAACACAAACTCTACAATGCATCTATCTTCTCTCTCTTCAACCTCTCTACAACGCATCTTCTCTCTTGTCAACCTCTCTGCAACTAAGAGAAGGTAGATCTGGTTCTTGAAGATCATTATTTACACAAAGAGAAGGGTGGATCTGGTTCTTCAAGCTCTCTTTCTTTAGGTAAACACAATAACACTCTTTATTCAAGTACAACACACACTATCTTCCTTCCTCACGATTCACATGGTTTTATGAGGTTTCTTACAGTTCTGGCTTGGGTTAAGGGTTGATTGTGTTTAATTTGGTTGATTTTCTTCAGATTTTTTACTCATATACGTGGCTTAAAGATCTGCTGCTTCCAAAAATATTTTTTATTCAGGTAATCCTTCACACACTCTCTCTCTCTCAATCTCTTTTTGCATTTGTTTTGATATTTTGTGGATTAAAATTTCTAAAACCTTCTTTCAGTTTTTATCCATTATATTAATTGCTTTTGTGATTATTGAGAAGCTTGTGGTTTAATTTTATTTCTAATTTGTTTTGGGAAATATTGACGGAAGAAATTACACAGTTTTGGTAATTTGTTCATTAGAACATCCAGAGTCGAAATTGAATGTTCATCCAGCACCATCTTCCTTATTCTATTTTGCCCATTCAAGGCTCCAATTCTCTCTCTACAACTCTTCAATCTCAGTTTCAGCATCATCCATTCAGGCGTATTCTTCAAGCTTGTCTTCAATCTAGTTAGTTCTCTGATGATACTATCTATGTTTGTACAGCTTTCACTACCCATCCGTCATGCCTTCTATTTTGACTCTCTTATTTTATTGCTTCAAAAAATTTCAATTTGGATTAGCTAAAAAATTTCAATCTGGATTAGCTTTCTCTAGATAAAAATACTACAAATTTAATGGGTATTTTCAATTTGTTTGTTATATATTTTTCCACCAGTCTTAATTTTATTGAATATGGTTGTGATGATCTAAATTCCAATTATGCTAAATAGGTGGTTGTTATTTTTTAGTTTTGTTGTGTACTTTAAGGACATTATTTAAAACATTGAAACCCCACCGACAGTGAAGTCGGGTAGGATAGGATGCCCTTTAACTCAAGTACCCTATGCATGCCATAGCTTAATGTTGTAACCTTGCTGGAGTAATGACCCTTGAAAACTTTAGTAGTGTCCTTTTGAGACCACCCCACCTCCACCTTCTCTGTATTGGCATGGTAGCCAAACTTGTTTAGCTTTTCCATCCCTAACTATGTAATATATATATATATATATATATATATATATATATATGAAGGACCCTTTGGGTAGGATGACCAGTGTGGTTGCTCTATTGTTTTGAGCCAAGCTTGGAGGCTGCTTTAACTACACCTATTATCAGATTGTAGGGCTCATCTTTGGGGCAATCCTATGGCTTCAAATCTTTTTCAGCTAAAATCTGATTGAGTTAAAAACAAATGATAGTAAATTGATTTTTTTATTTTTTGGTTTTTCCCTCTACAGTGAGCTTGCATTAACTGGTTCCACCTAGCAAAAACAGTTTGGCCAATGATTACATCATCTTGCATGTGGACTTGCAAAAGCATGTTGTCAATAGCATCCCCTGTTTGTTCTTCACAGCATGCATCTTCCACAGTCAACAATAAAGACTTTTGCTGGTCACATCTCCAAAAAACAACATAATATTGCTTTATCATGCTGGCAATGCAAATTAGAAAGATGAATTTTGCAACAGCCTCCAGTTTCATCTTTCAAGGTTATACTTTCATAGATAAATTAGGCTATCCTTGGACAACTGATCCCTTTTCCTTCCATTTATGATTGAAGCACAACATTATACTCCAGTTTCATCTTCCAATATCTCTTGAAGCACAACACTGTACTTTTGCTTTGGGAGATCCCATGGCTTCATAATCTTTTCAGCTAAAATCTGATTGAGTTAAAAACAAATGATAGTAGATTGATTTTTTTATTTTTTTGGAATTTTGTGATGCAAAGGATGTTCATCTATTTTTTTTTTTTCCTTCTCATATCATATTGGCTTGCTATTTAATACTTTATGGGTGTGATATATATTTAAGGTTTGTGAAAATCCACTTTATTGCTTGTAATTCTTTGTCTAATGCACAAATAAAATATGGCATCTCAAATTGCTCATGTTGAGGAGTCAGCTCTATGGTCTACACATTTAGAGAAATGTTTTGTTGATATAATGGTTGACGAGGTTAACAAGGGGAACATGCCATTAGGGACATTTACTTTTAAGTGTTGGAAAAAGATTAGAGAGGAGTTCCAAAAAAGGACTAACCACGCTTATAATGTGGAGCAACTAGAGCAAAAATTTAATCGACTACGTATAAAGTATTGTGATTTTTCAACTCTTCTAAGCAAGACAACTGAGTTTGGTTGGGATGCGGAAACAAACACTGTGACTGCTGATGAAGAAACTTGGCAACCATATTTGCTGGTAAAACATGTATTTAATTAATTATTTTACTATAGTTAGTTTACTTTTTAAACATGGTTATTCCTAACAATCTTTTGTTGTTGTTTTTTTTTTTTTTTTTTTTTTTTTTAACAGGCTCATCCCAATGCTAAGTGTTTTTGCAAAAAAAGGTTGTGAAAATTACAAACTTTTGGGAGTTCTTTTCAATACGTCGACTGTTACTGGGTAACTTCACTATACATCCACTCAAGATCCACCTAATACAGATGAAGAACGAGAGCATGAGAATCAATTTATGAATATAGGTGTCCATGTTAGTTCAACTGCTAATGGTTAAGATCAGATAATATTTTATTTGAAGACAATAATCCTCGTTGTCGTAAATCCACATCCTCTGATCATCGTGCAAAAAATGAGACTAAAAAAGATTCCATTAGTGACACTCTTGCTTGCATTGCTAAAGTTTCCAAAGCAAGGACTGAAGCTTCATTAGCTAAGGCGGAGAGGTATAAGAAAATGAGACATACTCAAGAGGCAACTAGCCTTGATCCATACTCTCTAAGTAATTGTATTGAATGCCTTGAAGGTCTTGATGAGATAGATGATGACACATATTTGAAGGTAACTGAAAAGTTCAAGGAACTGCATTATAGAGAATTGTTCATTAAGATGAGTATTTCCATGAAGTTTGCTTGGTTGAAGAGCTTGGACTGACTTGGGTGATTACTGAATGCAAGGTTTAGTTTTTGGATGCATCTGACTTGAAACACATATTTGGTTTTATGTCTAATTGAACAATTTCCTTATGCCTTTTTTTTTTTTCCCTATGCATGTGACTTTATGTTATATTTGTTTGGGGGACAATTTATTATATTTTATGTTATGAAAACTTTGTTTTGATATACCTTTTACTATATTTAATTTATAATGGTTATTGAAAATTTGTCTAGGTTCTTGAAAAATCAAGATGGAAAACACAGATTGGAGTGACACATTGTCTTCATCGTCTAGTGATTCAGATGAAGATTTTGATGACCTTGTAGATTGTATGTGTTTGAATTTGCTGCAAGAGTGTGAAGAATCCTTTAAATCGAAGGTACCAAAGAGAACTTCAAGGTTAACAGGTCATGAGTATGTTCAGGAATTGCTGAATAACCATGCCGATCGATGTTTTGATTTATCACGAATAGATAGAGAAGTCTTTCTGAAATTATGTCGAATATTGAGAGAACATAAATTGTTGGAAGACAAGTATACAATTTCAATTGAGGAGTCAGTGGCAATGTTTTTGTTCATTATAGGACATAATATTCATCATATAGTGGTAGCTGAATGATTTCAACATTCTGGTGAAACAGTTTCTAGACATTTTAAGCTCGTATTGAGAGCAATATGTCACATTGGGAAATTCCTCATACGTCCACCACAAAGCAGTGATGTGCCTTCTCATATACTTCATAATCCCAAATACTATTCTTGGTTTAAGAATTGCATTAAAGTAATTGATGGAACACATATAAGTGCTTTTGCACCTGCCAGCAAACAAACTCTTTATAGAGAAAGAAAGTCTATAGTGACAAAATGTTATATGTGCTTGTTCATTTGATATGCTATTTACTTTCATTTATGCGGGTTGGGAGGGTATGGCAAATGACTCGAGAGTTTTTATTGATGCTATTACTAGAGCCGTTGCACGATTCCCGATACCGGCTGATGAAATTACTTTTGTCTTTTTAATATTAATAATAGCATGCTACTAACCGTAATAAAATTTAAATAATATTTTGCAAGGAAATACTATGTAGTTGATTCTGATTACTCATGCACAAAATGATTTCTGTCTCCGTATCGTGGTCAAAGATATCATCTATAAGATTATAGGGGTAACAATCGACAACCGCGTGGTGTAAAGGAATTGTTTAACTATCGGCATTGATCACTTCGCAATGTCATTGAACGTTTTGGAGTACTAAAGGCTCGTTTTCCCATTTTAAAGCTTATGCCTTGTTATAAGTTGGTTAGACAACGACTTATAATAACTGCTTGTTGCACGATTCACAATTTCATTCGTCAAAATATATTAGATGATCATTTTTTTATGGAGTATGGGGAAGAAGATGTTGATGTCGTTGATTGGGGCAATGGTAGCAGTAGTAATGCTAGTGTACTGAATGCACTTAATTTTTCTGATGATGGTGCAACACAAATGGGAGCCTTTAGAATTCATCTGACGAATCAAATGTGGGCATCATTTGGAGGCAATTCTAGATGAAGTTACTTTTAAAATTCTCCATGGTTTGTCTTGATTAGCTAATTCTATAATTTTTTAATGTTTTGTTTTGGTGTTGTTTTGGTTATGTATCACTAAACTTAATACTTGTATAACTAAAAGTGCACATGATACTGAAGTAATTCATGTAACTTTTTTATTATATTTAAATTTAGTCGAGTATTAATTAAACTTGATATATTATATTTGTGTAATTTTTATTAAATTAAGAATATTAGCTAAAATGAATTCACCTCCAACACTTATTTAAAAAAAAAAAAAATACATTAATAGTTAATATCATAAATTAAAGAAATAAAAGTGTGAGGTACAATAATATTTTTATTTATTTTCTTAGTTTAGAAAACTATTTTCAATAAATACAGTCAAGCAGTTGTATGAGTTTTTGTTTTTCCGAAATTGTTTTGTAAATTTTCTTAACCAAGTTGGTTTCAAATCTGCAAAAAACTAAAAACTGTTTTATATTCTGATACTCTAAAAACTGTTCTTGAGAATTGTTTTCATAAATACAATCCAGACAAGGCTGATATTTGTTTTGCTTCTTAATACTCTGTTTTCTTCATGCCAATAAAAAAGAAAAAAAAAAAAAATCATAATCTCACACATAATCATACACGTGGTTTTGACGCTTATAAAATTAGCTGTAAAACAATAATTATATAAGTGAATTTATATAATTCATAATCATAAATGATATTAACATGTTTTTCTTCCAAATATGTCTATATAAATAATTATTAAACGGGTTAATTTATTTTTGTTTATATTTATTTATTTATTTTTGATAATAGCTAGAGACAGAAAGTGATAGATGTCCATATACGCCTTCGATTTTAATCTCTCCAGATTATTCAACCCTTTTCTGAGTTGAGGTCCGATTCTCTCTTACTATTTTTCTTCATCGACGCCCTTTTGCGGAAACGGTTCGTCAAGATTAAAATCCCACATCTCAATCACACATCGACGTATAATCTCCTTGAATATACCGACACAGTTTCTTTGACAATCGAATACGGAGTCACCAGATCTATTACCTTTGCTAATCAGGTAATTATTGTTACAATTATCGATTTTTTGATCTCTTGGATTTGCTCAATTGACCCCTCTTTTTGGTCTTCAGTGTTTGTTTTCTTATTAGGGTTTTTCATTAAGAGTACAATGGGTTTTCAGGATGCAGATCCAAAGATTGTATTTGTCTGTAGTCTGTTTTATTTAAATGGGTCTGTAGAAATTCCCCCCAAAATGGGTGTGTAGAATTTCTCTGAACTAGTGTTTTTGTGCTTTTGTTGCTGCTTTGTATCTTGACATATTTGGCCATCATGTTGAATTCCTAATTCTAGCTGCTGAATTGGAAAATTTTTCTGTATTAGGTTTAATGTGTGACTATTTGCAGGTAGTCAACAATGATTAGGCAACATGAAAATTAGTAGACCTAGTACTGGTATTGGGATAGAAATGCAGGGTAGAATGCTCTTTTAGGTTTGCACTGTATTGGAATTTGATATCTTTGTTTACATTTTAGGAATCTGCCCGACAAACATTTGTCTTTACTGTTATTCTGCCCTCATAATCTGGTTTATTATGATCCCGCTTCCAATCACCACATGATGGAGCCTTCCTGTACATGTATTCTGCAAAATTATCCATACTTCTAGAATAATGTTGTTACTGAAAATTATACTTGTTGTTGTTGTTGTTGTTATTATTATTATAACAAGATCATTGTGTGGTTCTCTCTAGTCGATACCAATATTAACTTGCTAAAGCAAATACATCGTTGTTGCTTTGTATTTTTAAACTATTTTTTATTTTTTATTTTTTTACTTCGGCAATTTAGGAGGAACCATGTCTTCTGCACGGAATTATCGTTCACAGGGTGGCACATCCGGTCGTGACTACAGGTCTTCTTTCAGTAGGACTCATTCTTCCTCCTCCATCACAACCACCAACAATAGCAACCATTGGTTAAGGAACCTTGCCAATTTCAATGACTTCTCTTGGAGTTTTAGGGAGAATAACTATAACATTAATTATGTTAAGCTTGATGTGGCGCCTTCTTTGAAACGGAGAAAGTTTACGGCTTCTTCATGGGAAGATGGTAGGAGACAATATAAACAACCCAAAACTTATGAAAGTGACCTTTCAAACTGCTACAACAGTTTAGTTGTTCCTGCTCCTACAAGATCCAACGCTGATGTCTACACACGTACAACTTGTAAACGTGACCGCTCAACATTTGAGGATGATGTTGTTGTTTTTATGTCAAGGGATGAAATTGAAAGATGCTCCCCATCGAGGAAAGATGGTATTGACGCTCTGCGTGAAACACATTTGCGATACTCCTATTGCTCTTTCCTTCAGAATTTGGGATCACAGCTGGAGTTGTAAGCTCATTATATTGTGTTTATATATTTCTGTTGTCTACATTCTCAAGCCTGGCTTTATAAATAGTTGACCTCTAATATTTAATTTTTTTAAAATTCAATAATATCTATAATCTTTTGAGGAAGCAACTTTGTTGTGTGGTGAATATTTAATAATTATATTATTTCTTAACTAGTAATCTTTTAAAAATCCTTTTACAGTCTCAATTATTACAATAGAAAAATACATATTTAGACCTATATATGTTATATAACAATAACTAGTAACATTAATTTATAATAATAAAGCATGAGATTAGGAGCTTTGTTATAACTTGACTAAAGATAAAAAAATGTTAAAAAATAAAATAAAAAATTATCTGATTTTCCCCGTTTTTTGGACTTACTTGCAGGCCACAAACCACTATAGGCACTGCCATGGTTCTTTGCCACCGCTTTTTTGTTCGAAGGTCTCATGCTTGTCATGATAGATTTGTGAGTTCCCTATCTGTCATACTTCAAATTTTCATAATCTTTGTGAAATTCCCACCCAGCATACTCGTGAGATTTTTTTTTACAAAATAATATTATGTTTGTAGTCAGACATGTTCAAGTTGTTGATTTGCATCAGATTGCTTTGTTCTTAAAGCCATGAGTTTTTTCTGAGACTAAAATACTTTCTTTCTGTTAATTATTTTTTATTTTGAGCTGGAGGATGTGACCAATCTTGCAAAGGCTACATGCTCTTTCTTGGTTTTGTAGAATGGAATGGAATGGAATGGAATGCCCATTCTAACGATTCATTTGTTTGGTATGCAATTTAAAGTGGGAATGACCATTCCATTGAAATGAAAATCCATTCCACAATTCCCAAGTAAATTTAAAAAAAAATTAACTTCCCAAAAAACCCTCATGTTCCAAGTCCAAAAACCATCACTACCTTCCACCACCTCCGCCTTTCACCACCACCAACTTCCACCACTACCACCGTCTTCCACCACCAGTCACCACCACCGCCACCGACTTTCACCACCGCCCACCGCTTCCCACCACCACCACCACCGACACTGCCATCCTTTGCCGCAACCACCACCACCACCACCACCGCAACCACTTTCCACCACCACTGCCGCCACAACTTTTCACCACCACTACCTTCCACCACCACCGCCTTTCACCACCACTACTGCCTTCCACCGCCACCACCTTCCATCACCACCACCGCCTTTCACCACCGCCGCCACCGTCTTCCGCCACTACCGCCTTCCACCACCACTACAACCACCACCACCGCCATTGCCTTCCACCACCGCTGCCACTACCATCCACTACCACCACCGCCACCGTCTTCCACCACTGCCACCACCTTCCACCACCCCCACCACTGCCATTGCCTTCCAACACCGCTGCCACTACCATCCACTACCACCACCGCCATCGTCTTCCACCACTGCCACCACCTTCCACCACCACCACCGCCGCCATCGCCTTCCACCACCACCTTAACAACTATCGCTTTCTACCTTCACCACCATCGTCACCACCATCCACCACCGCCACTGCCACCATTTATTTAAAAAAAATTGTAGACGAATGTCTTTTTGTTAATTTAATTTATTTGTTACTAAGAGGGATATTTTGGAGAACTCAATTTGAATTTTATTCCATTCTAAATTTTAAATTGGTCTAACCAAACACTAGAATGATTATTATCAATTCCATTCCTACACATTTCATATTTACAACCACACAATAGAATGAGAATGGTCATTCTATTCCATTCCATTCCATTCCTGTACACCAAACACAGCATTAATGTAACACATTTATGATATTAAATAGATCTTTATTATCTATGTATTTGTTGTGACTAACAATTTGATGCCACGAGAGTGCGCATTTATTACCCATAAATTTCGGATGACAGTTATTTTGATGCTAACTTTGGTATATTACTTGTTGGACCGTGCTTATCTGCTTTTGTATGTTTTACTCGCTTAGAGTGGAAAAAGTTAATCATTGCTAATTCAATTCTGTTGCAGTTGATTGCTACTGCTGCGCTTTTCCTTGCTGCAAAGTATGAAGAGACACCCCGCCCTCTGAACAATGTATTGAGAGCATCATGTGAAACTTTCCACAAACGGGATCTTACTTTTCTCTCCTATCCGCTCCCTGTTGTAAGTAATTTTGGAAGTTACACCTCCAACAACCCTACTCACCCATCCACACGCACTCCCAAGTAATGATGCAATGGACCAAGATGAATTCATAATCCTAAAGCTTTAGTTTTTTGAGGAAATGTTATTTTCATTCATTCCTAAAGCTTTGTTTCCTGCCTTAATGCAGATCTCTGACTTGGCCAAACCACATTGTAGAAGTCAACTTTTAATTATTCAGCTTAAAATGGTAAAATCCTAAGTTCATCTACGAAACGAGTAAAACTAAATACAATGAAATCAAATGTGACTTCCCAGGCACATTGCAAATCAAGAAGAAAGCAAAGTCCACTCGTACAGAGGATTATCCGTGAACCCATTAAGTTTATTGTTAAAGGGTTTGTGCTGGTTTTATGGTAACAAAAAGATGTGGGATTGTTTGGACATGCTTGCTAATGTCCTTGTCCTCTGTAATTTCTTGCTTTAATTCATCCAGCCATTCCTGACATAGGGAAAAATGAAATAAAACAATTGGAAGCACTGAGTTTAATTCACATAGTGGGAAGGGAAAGATGGCCGAGGATTGTAGATTTGACAAGTGGAAGCAGAAAATAGATGTTTGTTGTTGTTGACTTCCTCCTGCTGCCTATTCAGCTCCATTTGGTAAAGTTAGAACCACCAAGAAACTTTGTCAAATCTCGGAGAATATGAGATGGAGGAGAGAAATGTATTGTTTGTATCATTTCTTCAAAAAAAAAAAAAAAAAAAAAAAAGCCCCCTTCTCCCACTTCTGCTGATCTTATGCTGTCTGAGCTTTGATCCATATTCTGTAGATGCTACCTTAAACTTTACATCTGATAATGCTACCAATTATGCTTAGGCTTTATATCCTTCTTTGGCTCTATAGTGCAAACTACTCCTATTCCTTACTGTCAAGCGTTTAGAGCAAGAAGCGGAACTACAGAAGCTTTCTTTATCTTTATGGATAGCCAATCCATTTTCAAATATAGTTGTGGGACTTTACCCAAGAAATGGGTAAAACAAAAATGGAAAGATCGGAACATGAGAATAGATCTGATACCAATACGGACTACTTCCTGAGCCCAACTATGAGGTACATCTTCAGATGTTACAATAATACGTAGATGAGTTTTGACTGGTAAAACCACTCTATTGTCCACTTCTAATAAACATGATTGAACCAATTCTGGGTCATCTTCTGGAATCGAAAAAAGCCAAGTTTACAATATAAAATAACAGTACTGATATTTTCATTATATTATTCAGGTTGAAATTGTATTTTTGTTAGGCACAACTACTTGAGGATATCCATTTGTAATGGTTGAGTGTGGCCACACTTCCTAATTGGGAGATTTATTTTAAAGATTACAGTTAATTTATGTCTATTATATTCTTTCCTAACATGGCTTGCATGTTGAACAGGACTGGTTTGAACAGTATCGAGAACGGGTGATCGAGGCTGAGCAAATGATATTGACAACTCTAAATTTTGACCTTAATGTGCAACATCCATATGTGCCCCTTACATCCATTCTTAACAAGTTTGGCCTCTCACAATCAGTTTTGGTGAATCTGGCACTGAGCTTGATCAGTGAAGGGTAAGTTTCTTCAATTGATTTCAAGATGTTATAGTATTTGAACTTATAAAAAAGAAGAAGATGTTTATAGTATTTTAGTGGATTCCATGAGTTGCAGGTGCAGTATGGGTTTTGTTGGTTACTTTAGTTGTATTTACAGACAGTACTAAATAGCAAAATCTAGTGCATTCCAGAGTTCTTCTGATTGTGTACACTAAGAATCTGTTTAATTTAGTTTGACAGAATATCAAACGTTATATATAATCATCTACTCTGCTTTTACTAATATATTATATCCATACAAAGGCTTGCTGGCAACATTGTGTAGGAATTAGAAACTAGGAAATGCTCTAGTGGCTATCAACTTCAATCTATTTTGGTGGATTTTGACTGGCGGGTGTTTCAATTTCAATCAATTTGCGGACTTGTTGAGGTTTGGAGGCTGTTAATTAAGTGGAGAAGCTTTCTACGCTCCCTTTTTGTGCCTTTTTGAGTTTGGAATGTTCGTTACTTCTGTGAATGTTTTCCTTCTTTCTCTTGAGTAATTGCACGTCGTTTTGGCATGGGATATTGATTGTTTTGGATTGGCATATAATTGCAGGGTGTGTACAAGATTAGCATGCGCCTGTATGATATTCTTAGCTGGCGGATTGATATGGTGTTCATGGAAAGTTTTGTTTTACTTCTGAAGTTGAACTAGCAACGTGTTGTGGATGCCTTTCCATGAATATACATTATTAACTTGGTCATTGGTTATAGAAGATGGGCACAGACGCTCCAGGACCAGCCAGTGTTGCTATCTCAGGGACACTGCTAAATATTTATATTATTCAATATTTTTAATTTATTTTGAAAAGTAAAATAATATCTTTATTTAACTTAGTGTTTAATATAGGCATTTCACTCATTTTGAAGTAATAATATAATAATTAACTTATTAGATATGATTTTTAGTTGCATATCCACCCACAAAAGAGTCAAGACACATCCCATACTCATGTTGAGTCTTTTGTGTCTGACACTGATACTTCACCTACTTTTGAAGAGTCCATGTAACATAGATCTAGATACTAATGAGTAGGCAAATGAATCTAGAAAAAAAAAGGCGTTGATCTTTTTTTTTTTTTTTCCCTTCACCAAAATTTTGTGAAGAGGGATTGGTTTTCAGGTTGTCTTTGAATTTTTGTTTTTCAAATTGTATTGTCAGAATGTTTCCAAACTAATGCCTTGTATAATTTAAAATTTCAGGTTTGGGTCAATATTTTGAAAATGTTTCAGCTGATATTGATTAGCACCAAAACATTATCAAATGAGATTAATATTTAGAAAGGCATTCCTTTTGCACCTGCAAATGGAACAAGCAAACCTAAAAGGTTTATTATTGTCATATTGTGTTTAGCTTTAGCAGAAATAGGATGCAAAATTTTAAAAGACCCCTCAGAAGAAGAAAAGCGAGGAAAAGCGAGGGAAAAAAAAAACTGCACAAGTCCTTTTCATCATTCTTGTTTTGGCCAGTCACATCTACAATAGCACTGTCAATCCTTGTACATTATATATATATATATATATACATATTTATATATATTTATGTTGATATTCATCCTTTTCACTGGTTATGAAAAGGAAAATTTATCAGTTTTTACGTCTTGATATCCCTTTTGTTTTCCCACGATTATTGCTCAGAATGAACCTTGAAGTGTAACTCTTACACACACACACACACACACAATATATATATATATAATATAATATCACAGTTTTGCACCCAGACAAACGAACATGTGATGGTCCCTGCGTGGTGGGCGCAAATTTGGTTTTACCCGTGTATTCCCCCTACTTCAGTTGACCTTTATAGTGCCCAATTATCTATACTTAAGACTATGAATTTGAAATTATTATTATTTTATTTCATGGCTGATAACTCACACACCCCGCTTTGACCCTAAGGGAATTGAATGCTCAACCTCCACGTTGTGAGGTAGTGGACCGTTGGTTACATCTATTGGTGGTGAATAAGAACTTATTAGTGGGTTCTCGTTTTGACCCCTAATTAGTTTGAATGTTTTAAAGTCAGTGTAGTAGTTGGGATCATAAATGATATCATCCTTTTAGGGCCTGTTTACTAACAAGAAGTAATTTCTGTTTTCTACTATCAACTCTAAAAAAGCAGAAATAAAAGTAAATAAAATTGATTCTGATTTCTAAAAAGAGAAAGTGAAATCAGTTTTAATGAAGAACGTGAAAAGTGACTTTTTGATGCTTTCTATACTTTCTGCACTGTAGCGGGAAATTGATTCCTACACTGTTACCACACAGGCCACTGTTCATCCCAAATAAGTTGTGCGTGAGTTGCTGTCTTGTTTATAACATCTCTCTTCTCTCTATGCTCGCCACTCTTATCTTATCTACACTCTCTTCGAACCATATCTCATCCCTGAATCCACCATGGATGACACCACCGAAGGCTTATGGTTGTTCTTCAAGGCTTCTCATTTCGAACCCACCATATCTCCATCTGCCCAAACTCTTCTACCCATCAAATTTAAGCCTTTGCGTCTCTATTACTAATCACCATAATCGAACCCAGATCAAGGCAAGCCACTTCTGTAACACCCATAGTGGAATCTTCAAAATCTTTGATCACGTTCTTTGGTAATGCACTACCATTTGTGACCACCCAAATTGTGGATACTTGGGAAGTATTTGAAACCACCCAAATTGAGGATAAGTGGGAAGAATTTGAAACCACCCCAATTGAATGCAATTTGAATTTGATTTGGTGGAATTCAATCTGGAGAGCTAATGTCACATATGGAGAGTATGAAGAGAGTCTCTGTGTTTACCATCGGATGCGAAATTGGGGTTGGGGCTGATGGGTTTACTTTTCCTTTCATTGTAAAGGCTTGCGCAATGATGGGAGAATCTGAAATCTGCAGGAATGTTAATACTCATGTTTTGCATTAGGGATTTGAACACAATCTTCATGTGATGAATGAACTGATGGGTATGAATAGGAAGGTTGGACAAATGGACGATGCACATCAGCATTTTGATAAAAAGATTGTTAGGTAGCTTGCAATTTGTTCAATTAGTCTTCCCCTTATATGTTCTTACAATCCCCTTCTTTCATTAATGGAGTTGTGTCTACAAAAATTTTAGGCTTAGTGTTGACATGATCATACCAATACTTGGTTGTGGTATAAGGGTTTCTCCAATTGATTAGAGTTCAAATTATCCAAACACTACTTTGATAGCACTTTTAACTTCTTATTATAAGGTTTGATACGTGAAATTTTAATTATTTAACAAATAAAATTTAAGTATTTCAAGTCTTTAAATACAACTTAAGAAATTTTGACCATGCCCCCAATTCAAGAAATAAAAGCAAAAACACATTTTTTATTAAACACACTCTTTTTTGCTTTTAAATTTATGAAAGTAGTCAGCATTAACCTGATTTTACTTTCTGTTTCAACCCAAGAAATCAAAATTATGATTTTGCTTTTGGGAAAAGTAAAAGTAGGAATTACTTCCTGTTAGTAAATGGGTCCTTAATGTATTAAAAGTTTCCAGTTTCCACTATTTAGCTATTCCCTTGAATTATTTCTAATAATCATTTTCATGTTTCTCTTTTCATTTCAGTTTTCTTTCATTTGCTAATTCCCTCTCTCCCACGCCTCCACACCAGAATAGATGCCATTGTTTTTCTCAATATATCCTTTTAAATTTTGTTGGTCATTATATTTTGGCATTTTGTTATATATAAAATAACATATATCCATATATACATCAAGTTCTTATATAGGTATACTCAGCTTTGGTTGTCCTTATTATTGTTTGAGTTCTCGTTCACGTTCAGTGTCCAAGTTTTGCCAATATTTCTGGGACGTAACTCTGGTTTACTTGAAGTAAGTGATCTCCTGAGCAGCAGCACTTGTTTTGGTATTTTGCTATGTATAAAATAATATATATCAATGTATACATCAAGTTCTTAGATAGGTATACTCAACTTTGGTTGTCTTTTCTGTTGTTTGAGTTCTTGTTAAGTATCCAAGTTTCGCTAATATTTCTGGGATGTACTCCGGCATAGTCGAAGTGTGTGATCTCCTGAGAAGCAGCAGCACTTGTTAAGGTCAAGAATTTTAAGGAGATGAGCTAAGAATCTGTCAGAATAGAAGGTTGTAGTTTTTGTTGCCGTTGCTGTGCATTTGTGCGGCTTTGTTCACGTCTGTGTTTTTTTGCTTGGATGTGGGTTTCTATGTTAAATTCATTGGTACATGTATCAGGTGTGTGCTTGTAAAGTTTCAGATCTCTATGAATTCCAAATCTTCGGATTTGTGGACTTGATTTGAAATGTGTCTAAAAGTTAGATCAGGTATGTTTGCACATTTTTCATATCTAAATACATTATGCTATATAATAGTTCATTTTATTATATTGTCATTTGAGGATATACACAACTAGAATTTGTATTAAGTGGGCCGTGGTAAAAAAGTTTTTTTTTCATCTAGGGTTTATTTTCATCTAGCTCGGAAGTAGGAAATACTTATCTGTATAAAATTTAAGCTTTTTCTTCTTCTTCTTCTTCCATCATCACATGTAGAGGATCAGCCAATCTTGGTTTATGTGTTGGACACATATCTCATTTGCATGTTATGATGAAAATAGGAGAGTCCATGTAATACGGGAAGGTTTTGTTGGGATAATCATGTGCCAAGGCAATGGAGAATACAGTTGCAATGCGATAGTTTCCCAAGCATGGGAGCTTATCCGCTACAACCGAAAACACAAATGCAATCAAGCCTTCATTTGTTCCTTTTCTTTTGTTGTCCCCAAGTTCTAAGCTTTGACTTCCTCCTTCTAATGAGTAAGATGATTTACTATTTTTTGTACTGTGTCAACTTCCACCATCTCTTCTCTTCAGATCTGGTCTAGTGTAGACTAGATAAGAGGGGAGGCGAGTTGAGTATAAGCGTGCTTCCCTTGCCAGATCTTGCATCTCAATACGGTATGGTGCTTTGGCGTCCGTGCTCGCCCATTTCCCTTTCATTGGCAACGTGAGGTTAGACCTTGACTGAGAGGAAAGGGAATTTCAAATCTAGTTCAGTTTGTTTACTTGAATCTGTGTTGTGCCTCATTGATAATCTCTGAAATCTAGTAGATGTTAAAGAAGAAAAACTTGGTACATATCTTACCTATACCCCTAAACCCCAGGCCATATTACACCCAAAACAAAAAGTGTGAGTACTTTTAAATTCTCTATAATTGGTGTGATAGTGTTTGTCTTGGCGTGGAGGTGGGTGGTGGTATCAATTAGATTTTGTAAAATTATTTTTGGAGCCATTAAATTTAGAGTTGGCAGTTTTTTGTGGTGAGGAAGTGGTGTTGGTACTATATTTCAAAAGTTTATCCAGTTCACCCTTCCTAACATTCTTAGTAATGGAGAGTGGAGATGGGGACCACTATTGGTATTTTGGGCTCTTTTATTGAAGAAAACTTTTAGTTGGCATAATATTTTTTGTAAATATAAATTATAGTTTACATGTACAAATTATATACACTTGCACACACTTATTTAGATGTATCTATATTTATTTTGATCTTCTATTAATAGAGGAATAAGAAACATCTTTTGGATATATTAATAATTTATACACTTTTTTTTCTTTTCTTCAAATGATGAAATTAGCATCTATCTATTGTTAATTTTATTCAACCCTCATCCTTACATTGGGAAATTACGTTGTCTGTTCTGACTTCCATTGCATGTTGTACCCTCCCAGGATTGTATAATTCCCATGTAAAATATGCTATTTGTTAACATTTTTTTGAGCTTATAGGCCCCTGATTTTTTGTTTTCATATCTCATTCATTACTAATATGGAGCTAAAATAAAGCATGCATGAAATGAAATGGCATTATGTATTACTGAATATAACCAAATTATAATATTTGCTTTCCAAAGGAAATGACAAGTACTTATTCTGAGTACTTGTTACTGGTTTACTGTTTGACAGCTGGGCTTTGCGTCCTGGAAGGTTCCACGTCGTGGGCACCTTACCACCTTTACTATTATTTGAAAACAACACTGCCTCGCCACTTTTAAAGAGGTGGAGTTTTATATTTTTTCTAAAGAGCCCTTGTTAGCCACTTTTCTTGAAGGGTAATCATGCAATAGAAGTTCTAATAATTAATTCTGAAACTCTTTTTAAAAATATGGTTACTTCAAAAAAAAAAAAAGAGCACGTGTAGGGTTGATGATCAACACGATCTTTTTAACAATATACACCCATGTATATATATATATATATATATATATATATATATGTATATGTTGTTTACTATTTGTTTATATAACATGACTTGATTTTTATATAAATTGTTTAATGTAGGCAGCATTAAGATTCTACCTAGTTTTATTTATTTATTTATTTTTTATACCGCTTCACTATAAATAATGTTACCTAGAGGGTCTTGGGCTGTGTATTCTATGTTGGATTTTGTATTTTCATGTCCGTTAGCAAGAAAACATTCCTATTGGGGAAGCCTTTCACATTTAATCATTGAGCAGAAGACACTGGCATTTGATTCGAGAGGTTTGCTTGCTTGCAACATGTGTTGCTTTGCTCTCTTTTTCTTTTTCATATAAATTGTGTATGTTTCTGGAGTCAAAATTTCTCTGCAGCAGAACTTGGCCTGCAAGTTGGTGTGTTTTGTAGATGGTTATACATGTTTGCTATAGTTTTGGTACTCTGTCAACAATTCTGCAGAAGATTCTTGGAATTTTATTTCACCTGCGTTGCTGCTTTGTAGTTGGTAAGGTAAAATTGTCTTTGGCTTGCTTTTATTACTATTTGTCTTCTCTTTAGAATTTAATTCAAAGTATTCTTGAAGTTATATGGTTGTACTTGTGTACTAGCCAAGTTTTTTTGAGTATTCTTTAGGCTGATGTCAATTGTTACTGTTGTAATTCTGATCTTGCACGTTTATCATGGTGTTGCTCCAGATGGTTTGTGTGACAAATTAATTTTTATCAATGTTTGTTTCCCGTTTCTTTTAATGTTTTTCTCACAGTTGGATATTATTTTACAGGCTTCGGAGTTCGCTGTGGCTTCAGTTCAAGCCACATCAGATTGCTGCTGGAGCTGCACTCCTTGCTGCCAAGTTTTTAGATATGGACATTACTTCCCACAAAAGTATCTGGCAGGAGTTTCAGACTCCACCGTCTATAGTTCAAGGTATTTAATACCCTATATAAAATTTGGCAGTGTTTTTTAATATTCTGCATTTCAAAATTAAATTTGTGATTGGAATTTAAAGTTTGTGATGAATACCTAATCATTACTCTTTTTTTCCCGTTTGAAAGCTTGTTCATCATCCAATAACTTTTTCCCTGTATAGTTTCTTTGTGATTCAATTAAATTATAACAGCATCTGATTGATTCAAGCAGATGTCTCGCAGCAGTTGATGGAGCTCTTTTAGGGGACAACAAAAGATGAATACAGTAGGTTCAACGTGACATTGCATGTTAGGTCTCGAGTATATATATTAGCTCATTGTATCATTCAAGTCCGGTTAATTGTTCGTCTAGTGGTTGAAAGATCATCGGAGTATATTATTAGGTCTTTTAGTGTGAGAAGGCTTAGCAGGTGGGGATGGCTTTGAATCTTTCTGCTGTATGAAGATATAGATCAATGGAGTCTGTAATTTGACTTGTTACAGATGTGTGATGTGTGTGGTACTTAATATGATTATAGAAGTTGCGCGTTTTGATTATAGAAGTTGCTTTTCTTTCATTGTTGCATCCCTGTTGGTTTTGTGTTTTCTGACATCTGCTTAATGAGAATTTGGGCAAAACTGTTTTAGTTTGAGAAATTAGTTAAGACAGTTATATTTAGAAATCTAACTTGGTTTTTAAAATTTGGTTTATAAAGAAATTTTGGTTTAAGCTTTGGGAAGTTATTATTATTTTACCTGCGAAAACTGAGATCTTTGAAGGGGTAGGGAAAAGGTGCAACATAACTTTCAATAAGAGATGGATTCAGTTTTCTAGATCTTATAAAATAATGTAGAAGATACTGCAATGTTCACTGTGAATTTATCCTCCTTGTTTCCTATTCAATTAAGTATTACGAACGATAACATTAGTTATTAGTTATGAGACATGTTCGGATAAATTATAAAGGAAAAGAAAAAAATTAATAGTATTCTTGGAGGAGGAAAAAGAAAAGAAATTATTTTAATTAATTTACTATTGTATCCATGACTTGCTACCTAGCCCCTTCTATTTTACCTCGGCTAGAAGGCACATGGGATATGAACTGTAATTTGCCTAGTTAGTTAATTCACGTGTGATACGCGAATTAAATGCATACATACAGAAAATACTTTTTTTTTTCATCACCACGTATCCAACGCGTTTATTCGTTTATTCGTTTTGGTTGCTCCGTTTAATTCCTAACCTAATTATTATTTTTGTTTGTTTACGAACTTTACATTTCTAATAGCGTATTTTTCTGAAACACAAACTATCATCACCACGTATCCAACGCGTTTATTCGTTTTGGTTGCTCCGTTTAATTCCTAACCTAATTATTATTTTTGTTTGTTTACGAACTTTACATTTCTAATAGCGTATTTTTCTGAAACACAAACTATTATTTTTGAAACCATCAAAATAATGTTATTTGTTATGTAAACTATTATCTTTTCTACCCTCTTTTGTTTGGTATAGTCATTATCTTTCAAGCCATCAAAATAATGTTATTTGTTGTGCAATCTCTTATTGTTGTCACTATATATATATATATATATATATATATATATATATATATATATTTGTGGAATACTACAATCTTGAAAAATCTTAAAGTTTTTAATGTTTGTAGATATTTATAGATTTTTTGTTTTGTTGTGAGATCGTTTAAATTTTGTTAATATC